AAAATAGAACTCCTGTTTCCGATCTGGTAATTCGGCAAAGTGAATTGCGTCCAATACATATTTGCTGAGGCGTTTAATTATATCTTCCAGCTCGGTGGGTGATATGAAAGTGTGAGCTCACAAGTTTTAAGCAATCCCCACAACTCAGGAAAGGCTAGTTAGTCTTACTGAGGGCAAATACTTCACTGGATTTTTTACAATGGTTCTTGGGCCAAAAGGATCTTGCGACAGCGTATGAACCGATGGTAGCTCAGCACTGGTTAAGCTCTTGTGAAACCAAGCTATCCAGTAGTAGAACACACGTGGAGAGTGAAGCACCGATCCGTTTCCATTCTACTGACAGTTAGAGTGCCTTTCCTTGCCAGCTTGTCAGCTTTACAGTTACGTGCGATTCCGCTGTGGCCTGGCACCCATACTAGTCTTATCACGAGGTGACTCGATGCCATTAATAACGAGTTAAGGCATTTCTTAATCAACCTTGAACGCACGGTTAGTGAGCTCAAAACTGGTATTGCCGCCCTGCTATCAGAGTGAATAGTAACTTCTCTGAAAGAGGCTGTACTTGTAATAAAGTACTTAAAAGAAAAATAAAATAAAAAAAATATATGGATATCAATTTTGAAGTGACATACAAATATCTGAAGTAAAGTTTTAGAGAGAGAGAACTTTCATTTTAATACATAAAGTAAAGTGTAGTCTGAATAATTTTCTCCAGTTTTTCTTTGTTTCAACTGCAGAATTTAGAATTTTTAATTATTTAAATATTTTAATAATCTTAAAGTGTGGTACGCACAGTTTTTGAATTTTAATATCTCATAACTTCATTTCATTTTTGTCAACAAACCCATCCTATCTAAAGCCGGTTTTATTCCCTAGAATAATCTGTCAATTGCTGTTAAGAATTTTAACTTCAAATTTACCTTTTCTTGGAGGCGTCAATATTCTTATAGAGTCAATAGATATGCTAATTGAAACCCCGCTCACGTAGCTACATAATTACCCCTTCGCTATGCAAATATGTACGATACACAATGCAACTCTGTCAAATCTGTCGTACTCGTGTTATTCAATTCACAGTTTATCGTTAATGTTTGTGAGCCCAATAAGGCTACTGAATGAATACTCGCCATATTTTCAGAAGTCATTGTTCGAGTTCTTTGTTTGTATGTTTGAAGTCTACGTTAGCACCTGTATTCAAATAGTGGCACACAGCTTTTTGCGTCTCACGTTCGGCGTTGAAACTAAAAGTTGTTATGTCTACTAGACACATACATACATACACACACATTTGTTTACCACTTTTTGTTGTTGCATATAGGCAAGTGCGACTGTTTTCGTGTCACCTGTCAGTGATTTTGTGGTTTTCAATTGCTGGTTTTGTTTACATACATGTACATACATATTTGTATATATAATATAAATAATTGTGTGCGCCAACAATTAGCTTTGGTTTGGTGGCTCGTGCCGATGCTTTTTTAAGAGGGTGCCTTGAGTGCGCATTTGAAGCATGACTAAGAACAAAAACAACAACAATAACCATTATAGTAATAACAACAACAATATTAATAGTAATTTGTCATTTTAATGTGAATTCCTAGAATGTTTTCTTGTCGAAATTCCAATAACTAGGCAGCTAGGAGATTTGCTACTTAAATATATCCCTCTACATATATGACCATATATACATAAATATGATCAGATCTTCGAAAAAACCTACTTTGAACCCAAGCATATGTATACGCTTAGGCTGGATTTACATACAATTATTATAGGTCTTATAGGCCTATATGATTGAGCTAGTTCCCACTTCTACCGAATGCTTCGATTTTCGTAATTCTTTAGCATTGAATTTAAAATCGGTACTCCAATATTGCCTCCCTTCCACAGAGGAGGGGAATAAGGATGAAGGCAAAGACACAGGGATAAGTATCTATACGGATGGGTTCACACTGAATAATCGAGTGAAAGGTGGTGTATTTTCTGCAAAATTAGATACCAGAAACGCCTTTCGACTACCAGACCATTGCCATGACTTCCAAGCTAAAATCACAGCAATTAAGGAAAGTCTTCTTGTTCTACCAAAGAGGATGCTTACAACAAAAAATATATTTATAAATTTAGGTATCCAAGTCGCTTTGAAATCACTAAATTATTTTAGGGATTCATCGAAGACAGTAAAAAAATGGCTTGATCTCTTAGATAACAAAGATTTCCTCCATTTGCTCGATGTTTGGCAAATATTTTAATATATATTTTATTACAAATGTAATTATTATATTGAAAATATTAAATTTAAGAATTTTTTTCCTTATATTTAACTTATGTTCACCTCTTATTTTAACACTCCTCCCGTGTGAAAGTTGAAAACCTTTGGTATATGGGGCACACTGCGCGTACCCACCACTAATGCGCAAGCGCAACTTCCTGTGATTAGAGTTGAACTCATTTCAAACTGATATAACTTGATTTAATAGCACTACCAACGATCTTCTTATAACACAACAACAACACCGTAGTGTTTTTGCTACTTCTGCTACAAATGCAGCACGCTACTGTAAAAGTGGCAAATACAATTATTTTGACATTAATAATGAATAATATATACGATGAGTCGCTTGAAATGAGCCGGCGGCTTGCTTACCTCTGCACACACCCACGCACGCACGCTTAAGTATTTTATAATACCACAACGATTTGAGCTTTCGACCGTGTCACTGTGCATTAAAAGTAAAGCAGAGCAGTGCAAAAACGGTACAACATTGTTGTTGTTGGGCACATTTCTTTTTGTGTGTATAAAAATTTTCACGCTATTTTAGCCCGCAACTGCGGAAACATCGCGCATCGCTGGTGGCCAGCGCAAAAGAAGTGAAGCGACGTCGGCGTACTGTCTGCCACGTTGAGCACAAATCGCCAACACACAACCACACGCGCATAAGAGCAAGACAACGGAAACAAATAGAGTAACAATTTTAGACTGCCCTTCGTCGCCATGGCAAAGTGAGCGTTGACATGCCTTTGTCACGAATGGTTAACTTAATGATAATGGCAAAACAGCACAATAATAATGAGTAAAGCAATAATCTTTATAATTATATATAAACAACAATATCATGCATATCATAATTTGAGATTTGTTGTGTAAAAATTTGTGAATATACATATGTATGTAGGTATTACAAATGCTACATCAAAAAATTAGTTCAACCGACGTCTCAAGGTCATTAGCAGCACGGAGTGGCGCTGTATGGTCGCAGCAACATTTTCCAAACTATTTTTGTTATCCGTCTCGCTCTTTCTTCACCATAAAGCACAACCTTCGGTTTATTTAAATTTTCTGTGCATAACTATTGAAGCATAAATTAATTTTTTCTTAACAAATATTTTTCAATCAATCCACTGACATGCATTTTATTATTAAGGTGTAACAACCCGTGAAAAGCTGGTAAAAATTTGTTTATTACACAATGTTAGAATTACGTTTCTTTTACTTTACTTTAGTTTACTATTTCTATTAATTTCCTTTGTATTTTTGGTGTAATCGTTCCTATAATGGTGTATTTCCTGTTATTAGAGCGCTCAGCCTAGCATAATGCACATAAGCGGTGATTTCGTTTTGAAATTTTGTCATGTTTTTGAGGCACATGAGTGGCTATGGAAAATTTGTGATTCTATTTTCGACCGAATGAGTTTAGTTGAGAGCCAAAGGTTAACAAAAATGTTAGAGTATAGTAGTCCGATCTAAAGAAAAGAGGTACGAAAATATCTTTATCTTGATTTTGATTGGTTCGTTTTTACGACAGCTATATGTTATAGCAGTCTGATCTGAACAATTTCTTTCGAGGTTGTACCGGTAATAATCCTTGGGAATTAATCCATGACAAATTTCGAGAAGACATCTCGTCAAATAAAAAAGTATTCCATACAAGAACTTGATCTAGATCGTTCAGTTTGTATATCAACTATATTCTATAGTGGTTTGATCTAAAAATGTTTTTCAAAGATTCCGGCTTTATTTTTGAGAACACTCTATGCCTAATTTCATGAAGATATCTTGTCAAATATAAAAATGTTTCCATATAAGCACTTTATTCCGATCATTCGGTTGGTATGACAGCTACAAGCTATAGTGACCCGATCTGAACTATTTCTTCGGAGATTAAGGCATTGCCCTGGACAGTGATCTGTGCGAATATATTTTGCCAAATATAAGTTGTTTATACAAGGGCTGGATTGATCAGTTTGTATGACATCTATATGATATAGTTGTTCGATATCCCCGGTTCCGACAAATGAGCAGCTGCGTGGTGAGAATTTCAGATCGACATTACAAAAACTGAGGTACCAGTTTGTGTGTATACAGACGAAACGGACAAACAGACGGACATGGGTAAATCTAATCAGCTCGCCACGCTGACTATTTATACTCCGACGTTTCCTTCTGAGTGTTACAAACTTTGTGACCAACTTAATATACCCTGTTAAGGGAATTCCATAACATCTGTAAGTTCAAGACTAGCAAGAAAAATCTTCCGAACATTAACACATAGATCTTAACAAAACACTAGTTTTGAGTAAAGTTCAGTTGGCCGGCAGTATAATATTATACAACCGGCTACAATATACAAAATATAAAGAGCTCATTCAAATACCAGGTGTTCCGAAAATCATCACTTTTCCGTACAAAGTTTGACTATTTCAACACAACGAAAAAATTTGATGTTATTTGTTTAATGACTCTAAGTCTATTGAATATGTTTGACAGATGTCATACCAACCAAACTGGAAAAAAATTAAGGCACGATCACAACAAATGTTCCCTGCCAACAGATTTGTATCTTAACGCTCACTCCATACCGGTACACCTGGTAAATATTAATTCTACTACATTAAAAACATGTTATACATAATTCCTATTTTGTACCGAAAATTAATTAAGTAATTTGTAAATTACGGAAATTTAATTACAGTAATTTAAATACTATTTTACACTTTCCTTGCAGGACCTGTACTACATTGCGTTGGGTTATCCCGAAAAAGAATTGAACACAGACATCGCTCTAATAACAGGAGGAGGTAATGGACTCGGTCGATTGCTCGCGCAACGCTTGGGCAAAATGGGCACCAAAGTTATCATTTGGGATATTAGTAAAGAAGGTAAGTAAAGAGAGTAAAAACATGTTTGAGGCTGTTAAGCACTTTTGTATATGCAAAATATTACGATGAAGACGAATGCCAATTATTAGTACTGGCTGTAAATCTTTCGATTATCATTACATGTATCATTCTTTCCAGTACTGCAGTTTAAAATGTTTTGTATAACTTAAGTAAAATCTTTGATTTCAGGTATCAAAGAGACTACTGAAATGGTCGAAGCGGAGGGCGGCTACTGCAAGGGATATGTTGTCGATATTTCCAAAAAGGAGGAAGTGTACAAGGCAGCAGAAGTAATAAGAAATGAAATTGGCGATGTAAGTACAGCAACAGCAGCAGAAAGGTTTCGCTTTTCTTTGAGAAATACCAACAATAAAGTATTGTAAAGTATATAACGATTGCAGTAGTTGTAACTCTTTGACAGCTATCATTGGAAACGTGCTATATAAAATAATTAACATAGTATACAAAGTGTAGAAAAGTTGTTTGTAAAGGGTTTTGAATTTATCAGCGCCGACGTTTTATATAGCTAACGTATTACGTATAATTTCATAGTAATCGGAACACTTTTCGATGTCTGAACGAACTGCTACTTTTCTTTTCTGAGTGTGTCTTTATGTTTTCGGACGATTGGCCATACAGCACACAATGCACAGCTGTGGTGATTCGCTACAAGAGCGTTTGGTCCGCAGATAACTTGTTAAAAGCATTCTGTGTCGCTCTCCATATAAGAAAATTATTTTTAACGCACTAAACTAAACACTCCACTTCGGTTTTAATAGCTTAAACTACACTTAAAGAACTATATAAGTACAGCTACCAGTTTCAGTTTACCTTGAATGTCAAATAAATAAAGGCATTCATTGTCACAACTGTGCCAACAACAAAAATATTTCTGAATGCTCGCACTTCAACTTGACTTCCACATGTACTATACATACAATAGAAAGATACAAATGTATAAACTTTGAAGTATGCAACTTGAGCTTGTTTTATTGCAGCATACTTGAAACGCTGGAGAGTCTATAAGGGAGCATGACGAGATAGGTTGTTTTAGCCATGTCCGTCTGTCTGTATACACGCGACTAGTCTCTCAGTTTTTGAGAGTTCGAAACGGAAATTTTACGCACGTTTAATTTCTGAAAAAATTGTTCAGATCAGACCACTATAGCATATATAATACTTATGTAGCTACCATAGGAACTGAACGATCAAAATCAGGTCCTTGGATGGAAAATGTTTTTATTTGACGAGATATCTTCAAAAAATTTGGCATGGATTATTGCTCAAAGCAACGGTGTAATTTCCGAAGAAATTCTTCAGTTGGGACCACTATAGCATATAGCTGCCATACATACTGACCGATATTCGTGTCAGCGATGAATTGAACAAATCAGAGTTCATCGAAATCGTTTCAGTTGTTTTTGAGCTATAAATGCTGTAACTAAACTTTTATTATTATTATTATTTATATAGAAAAACTTTACGCAAACTTTTTCAAGCAACCTTTCATATGTAATAAATAAATCATTAATAGCTTTAAAGACCATTCCACACAGATGCAGCTGGTGATAAAAGCAATAAAAACACACCTTTTCTTAAATAAAAAATATTCAAAGTAGCTTACGCAATCGCCGTCAGTCATTACAAGATAGCCAAAAATCGAAATAAAACGAAATAAGCATAAAGTTGCCAAAATGCATAGAAAACGTTTGCCTTGGCATCAATATTGCGGTTGACCGGCACGCATGCGGTATGAACTCACGCCCAGAATGGCTGTAAACTAATGTCCAAAAACCAAAACCTATGTATGTATGCGTGTGTTGTAAAACTTGTTGCACGTTTCTAAATTGTAGTTTCGCAAGAACTTGTTTGAATACTTAATGGCATTAATAAATTTTTTAACTCAAAGCTGTAGTGAAGAATTAGGATTAAAATTTTCATTGTCAAAACAAAATTTGTAAGACGAATTTCGATAAGCTTGCGGTGTAAAGAACTGAAAAGAATGAATGGAATGAAATGCTAAAATATACCATAAACTAATATAAATGGTTTTTCCCTTTAAAACTCCGGTAAATTTCAGCATAGATGATGCACTTCCCAAAACCAAATATACTAAGGGCTGCGATAGTTAGATTTCCAAGGTTGCCGTTTACCATAGAGTTTATTTTTCTTTCGATTTTTAAATACTGAAAAAACAAAACAATAAGAAGAAACGCTAACTTCGGTTGCACTGAAGCTATAATACCCTTTACAAATACAAAAGATTCCATAAAAGAGCTTGATTTTGATCGGTCAGTTTGTACGGCAGCTTTATGCTATAGTGATCTGATATCGGCGATTCCGACAAATGAGCAGCTTCTTGTGAAGAGAAGGACTTGTGCAAAATTTCCGATCGATATCTCATAAACTGAGGGGCTAGTTCGAGTATATACAAAAAAAAAGGACACTGTTAAGGGTATAAATATGGTATATAGTAACATGACAAAATGTACAGCAGTATATGTTATCATAAAACAGCGGAAATACATGTAATCATAAAGATGTAAGATCTTCAGTTAAAATTATTGGTTTAGTCTCTAGTAACCTTAGTTACCACCTTAACACCTGAACCAGAATCTTTCGAGGCTAGCATATATGGACATATCTATATATAAGCATGAATCTACACTTCATAAGAAGAAGTAAATATTAATTTAATCTGTGTTTTCCAGGTATCTTTGTTGATCAACAACGCTGGTGTTGTGTCTGGCCGTCTTCTGTTGGATACACCAGATCACCTTATTGAGCGTTCGTTCAATGTTAATGTCATGGCACATTTCTGGGTGAGTTGCTAACATATAACGGCATAAAAAATATTCATATTTGTTTATTATATATTTTTTCCAATTTAATGCCATCCTACAGACTACCAAAGCATTCCTACCGAAAATGATCGAGCATCAACGTGGACACATTGCAACCATAGCTTCTTTGGCCGGTCACGTGGGCATTACCAAACTGGTCGACTACTGTGCTAGTAAATTTGCAGCTGTAAGTAACTGAAATAATAATAGCTTTGTTCCTTTGTAAACGAGTGTGAAACCAGCAACACTCATCCCATCTTCATTTATCAGCTTATTACTACTAATAATACTAGAGATGTTTGGTATCTACTCAAATAGTTGCATTAAACTTTTCGCAAAATTCTTTAGATGAGCTGAAACTTGATGAGAAAGTTCTACCTTCTCCTTAGTTTCTTATATCAAAGTCTAACGCTCTTCTCTGTTCATCTGGAAGTATTCAAAATAGTCTCAAAGAAAGAATTAATGTAGAAATATTCAATATTGTTAATAGAAATGATTCTCTTTATGTGCCCAATTTTCGGCCACTTTTTGCAGCAACTGGTGTCGTCAGCAATAACACACCGAATATTTTTTTCCAAGACCTCAATCGCCTCGGGCTTATCTCCGAAGACAAGGGACTTCACGTAACTCGACAAAAAATAGTCCAGCGATGTTAAATCGCACGATCTTGAAGGCCCAAGATCCGAGACAAAGTTTCCTTCAATACATTCTTTGTTTTTTTTTTCATAGCGTTGCCAATTGACTGTCCTATTATGGCAGACTTCATTTTTGAAGAAATATGAACCAATGATTCTCTCTGACCATAGAGCACACTTAACAGTGACTTTTGAGGATGTAACGGCGTCTCAACAATGGCTTGTGGATTATCCTCACTCCAAATCACTCCAGTTTTGTTTATTAACGTACTAATTCAAACAAAAGTAAGCTTTGTACGGCGTCCTTGGATGCGCATTATCTACTCGTACTAGAGTAAACATGGTACAAAACCGATTGGTGGGTGCTCGAATTACCGACTCTGCTGGCCGATTTTGTCGACCGAATAGTGGACGAACCCAACCATTCTTTTGATAATAAATGGTTTGCAAACATGGAGTAAGTCTGTTCATTATGAAATGAAAAACTAAACTAGTATAAATTAAATAACAGCTGTCAAAACTCAGATATTATATTAAAATATTATTCCGTCAGTGCGAATATCTAAAAATAAAATTGACACACTCTAAGAAACTTGGCTATTCAAAATGATTTATGATGTAAGAATAAGGTTATCTAATTTGAATTCTTACTTTTTATACTCTGTCCAGGTTGGTTTTGACGAGGCATTGCGTTTGGAATTAGACGTCCTTGGTCACAGTAATATTCAGACCACCTGCATTTGCCCGTTTTTCATTCAAGCAACCGGCATGTTTGACGATGTTAATGCTAGGTAAATAACACAAACAGACAATTATTCGGCTCTCAATGAAAACCGAACTCAATCAAAATGTACATTTTCAATTCAGATGGGTACCCACATTGAACCCCAACGCCGTAGCTGATCGCATTATATTGGCGATAAAGAAGAACGAAAAGATCACAATCATACCCGGTTACATCCGTCTGCTGCTTTCGCTTAAATGGTAAATATTAAAATTTGAATAATGAAAATAATATTAAAGGTGTTTTTATTTTTTCTCCCCCCAGGACCTTCCCTTGGGGTTGTGTGGGTGGCCTACTACGTCGTCTTGTACCAGATGCGGCGCCACATGGAGTCGCTCAAAAGCCGCTACCCACAGACGCTTCCTCTAAACAACAGCAACAACATGAGCAAAGCGCTAAAGCCGCTGCCAACAAAGTCGCCCACACGAGCTTAATCACGAAGCACACCACCGATCTGTGCACGGATTTCAGCGAAACGCTGCCAAAGACCGCCTCGTTGTTGGTGCAACGTACACCGTCGCTGGGCGAGCGTGTTCTCTGAGATTCGCTGCTGCATATCGCCTTCAACTTATTTAGCGGTTTTGGCATTTCGTTCTAGGATCAGTGCGCGACAGTTGGCGCACTCGTCTAGTGATATTACATTTACTTAGTATTATGTTATTAATTTTAATTAGTTTAGATTCTAACGGCTTAGAATACGGTTACGAGTATATATGTAAGGCGCTATGAACAATAAGTTTTAAAGTACGGATAGAAACGTTGATCCACAATATATGTATGTATATATTTATATATACTAGTAGATCCGGCCAAGCGCTGCTGTGGCTATGGTATATATTTTATACTATTACTTACATAATAAACTATTCAATGCAGTGAAAATATTATTTACGAATAAACGCGAAAATGTTATTGTCGGTATAAAAATCCAAGGGATTGTGCTTTGGATTTAATTTTGAAATTGATTGCTACAAATATTTGTCAAAACAAAAAAATTATAAATTTTCCATTTGGCATATTAAATATTATAATAATTATATTTTTTTGTTGGAATTGTGAACACATGCTTACGTTTAGAAATATATTTTGTTTAATTATGAATTGTTTTGACTATCCTATCTTTTAAGTTGGATCAAACTGGATACAGTGTGCTAAATTTTACTGAAATCGCTTCAGTAGTTTAGGAGGATTTTAATGTATATAAATATTTGAAAGCAAAATAAAGCCGAAGCAATCAATTGAATAAATAAATTTTCCCTGAAGCTTCCATTTTTACATACTCAATTTGATTATATACATACATATTTAGCGAATTTTACAAACATTATGAATTTAACCTAAAATGATAGTAACCAATTTGTTTTATTATTATAAAAGGTTAAAGGAAAAATAAAAAACAATATTAACTTCGGCTGCACCGATAGAATACCCTTCAAAAATAAAGAAGTTTCCATACAAGAACTTGAATTTGATCGTTCAATTTGTATGTCAGCTATAAGCTAGAGATCTGAATATTTTCTCAAATATTGTAGCTTTGCCGTATCGGCGGTTCCACCAAGTGAGCAGCTTCTTGAAGAGAAAAGGACGTGTGCAAAATTTCAGATCGATGTCTCAAAAACTATTTCGCGTATATACACACGGACATGACTAAACCGACTCAGCTCGCATTGTTGATATTTTATATATTATATATATATATACATATATGCGACGTTTACTTCAAAACCGGCTTTTTTAATATGACATAAAAAGTTAGGGGCAATCAGTATTCAAATATATATTCAAAGCAAAGCGATTTTGTACATTTTCTATATAATATCTAGATATATTTCATAAAAATTTGAAGTAAATCCGACAAATACTTTCACTGCCTTTTCCTTTAAAATCGACGCAAAGCGCTTACTATAAACATCCGAGGCAAGCACCTTGAAGTAGAAAATGGTGAATTTTAAGTTTCCAACCAACCAATGCAAGCGACTTCTCCTCACACCTAAGTTTCGAACCATGAGCTGAATACAGAGTGCTCCCAAAGCGGGGCAAATATTGAAAATATGACAGCATTTAATATTTTGCATGTGGAGAAGTGATTGAATTTTTTCACTGAATTTTTCATGCTTGTTTAGCAAACTTTTTTACTAAAAGTATTATCTTACAGCTGTAAACCATTTAGCAGACATCACGGCTTATTATTGCGGAGAGTGGCTACTACTACAATTGACAGCTGGAAGTAAATCTGCTGTTCACAATAAACAACTTTCAAGCAGCGTTGTATTTTCCCGGTTTTAAAAGCCAAAAATTTCTTCAATAAACAAAACTTTTATAAGGTAAATATTTATTAAAAATGAGGACTGGAATTTAAAAATCACACATACTTATGCTATTAAACATAATCTTGAAAAGACTATTCCTTTTAAACATTAATAAGCACCAAATAATATGGTTAAATTTTTCTAATTTCGAGCCCGAATTTCAAACGATACCTGAATGGAACAGTTTAGATTTGTCCGACAATCGACGCGGACGCAGCGACGGAGTGTAACGAAAGCGCGACAGTGGCATTTGTGTGGAGTCGAATTAAGTGGTGGCAGAAAATTTATGAAATCAACTAATTTCAGTTAAAGAATTGAATATAAATAATCGTAATAAATGCAATTAACAAGTGAAAAGTAATTGAAATATGTGTAAGTAATTGAATCAAAGTTTAGCAAAGTGTTTTCAAATCCAGTTGAATTCATACACATAGTTTTTCATAAGAAAAAATCAAAAGTCAGTGAGAAAAACGAAGAAGTGGAGGAAAAGTGTACGCAAAACAAGAATTTTTGTGTACTCCACGAGCGAGCGCGAGTACGAAGCAGCGGCGAAGAAGATTGCCGTCGAGCCGTCACTGAAAATCAAAGTGGAAAGAAAAACGGGCGAAAAATAGTAAAGCAGGACGGAAAGTCCTTAAACGAAACGAGGAAAATTTGTGTTTTCTGAGAGCGATAACTTCCAAAGTATAAAAGTTACGTTTTCGTTTGTGTTTACATGTATATGTGATTAAGAAAATTTTGAAAAGTGAAAAGTGCATGCAAATATGTATTCCTTTTGCAACGTTGGAATGCGCATTTGTGGCAGCAAATAACGAATAACGTAAAGGTTTGTGAAATGTATGGTGTTTAAGTGTTGGCGAAAATGACCGTGAGTCGTGTACAAATTAACACGGCTGGAAAGTTTTGGCATAAAATAGAAATTTTCAAAATAAAATTCAATATTAATAGTTTGTGAAATACAGACGGAGTAACGAAGAAGTTTCTATCTTTTGGTTTTTCATGTCTCGACTGCTTTAATTTAGCTACATTCAAAGTGTATCTGTGTGTGAGTGTTTGTTGTGTGCGTGCACGGATTATTGGATTATTACCTGTTTTGCTTCTTCTGCGAGCGCAGTCGGCAGCGGCAGTGACAGTGCCGTCAACGTAGTCGACGACCGACGACGTTCAGCACAGCGACCTGACATTTTTTCGGCTTTGCTTTACGGATTATTCGTTGTTGGTTGCAGTCGCCGCATTTATACCGCTGATTTGTCCACAACGTATGCAGCAAGAGTTTCAGCATCGCCATTACCAACTCCATCAGCATTAACGGTGCAGCAGAGGCAACTAATGACCGTATTGCCACATTAAATGTAAATATTATTTTTGTGTTAACATTTTTACAAGCGTTTAGTTGCAAAGCAACTCTATAAACCTGTATATTCATGGATCCTTGTATGTTATGTTTTTACCCCATGTTTTATGTTAATCAAGCGATTTTTGTCTAGTACTTTCATAATAATTAGAAAAAAAATATGTAAGTGCATATGAACGAAAAATATTTTAATAGTATTTATATACACAAAGTATACATATGTAAGTATAAATATATACTTTTTATTCGGAATATTAAACACCCAAAAAGTGACTACCTACGTTAAAGGGTGTAAATGATGATATCTCCGCAAGTGCTGCCTAAAATTTTGTGATATAATATATTATATATATTATCTTATATTAATAAAGTAAGAATATATTATTATTCAATCAGGTTTCAACTTGACTTGACAAAAATTTGAATAAAAAATAATAATTTTAAAAGTAATATATGTTTGTTTTGACCCAATTTCAACCGAAGCTCCTTGTAGTTACCATCACCTTTTTTGGAGATTCATCTAAAATCAATTGAAAAAAATTAGTCCTAATAATAGATAATCTAGTGCCTGACCGAAGCATTCAATTAACAAAATGGCGGTCTCAGGAAAATTTTATAAAAAATCGAAATTAAAAAATCCATCGTTCAGGTACTAGTTTTTCATGTTTCCTAAATAAATTTCATTGAAATCTACCCAGCGGTTGTAGTGGTCATGGTCTTGAGAAAAAAGCATATTAAGTTTAACACGAACGTTCTTTTGCTACTTATCGAATAACTCAGAAATTATTTGTCGGAATTATTTCAAAGAAGAAGAATAATATTTTTAAGATATTTTATTTTAAGAAAATTCCAAAAAAAAACGAAATATTTTTAAAAATTCAGACTACCCCTAACCTCCTAATCCTGGATTCTAAAAACGATTTATATTTTCAATTCGATGGATCATATAAAATTACCAATTTATTTATGTACTTATGTATACCAGTCGGTCTTCTTTCAATTTAATTCTGATTTTATAGAATTTGCTAAGCTATTTCGAGACTTATTTATTGCATTTTAAATTGATATTATAAGCGTTTAACTTTATTTGCGGTTTTTTTTCCAAGTTTGATCGTTTACTTAAGGAAAACTTGTAAAATAGTATTATTCAAAGTATTGCCCATCTGATGCTATACAATTTTTCTATATTTCTGTCAATTTGTGGATTCTATCTGAAAAGAACTGAGCTGGCTTGGCGGTCAAAGCCGAATCAAGCTTTCTCAGCCATATTCAAGTGAGAGCGTTCTGCATTGAACAAATGGTAGTCAAGCAAGGTCTGCTGTTGTTTTAAAAAAAGATCTTGCAACATGAGGTTGTTATTGGCTCATGTCTAGTCGCGAATTCCTGGAGTTTTTCGGAAAACGCTCATTTCAACTTGATGAGTTCTTGTCGGTAGCATTCCCCATTTATGGGGTCATCCAAGCCAAAATCACCATTTTTAAATCGTACAAGGTACAATTAAGTTTTTAGCCGATTTTATCACCTTTTACGACGTAACATCTGTGAAAGTCGAACCAAAAAAAAAAAATAATAATAACATTAATGAAAAAATCTCTAGTTCTATCAGTCTTCGTTGGAAGCAAACAGTTTGAAATAAATGTAATGCTGGATATACCTAAAATTATATGCTTTTAAAAATTCTGCGAATTTTTCTACAATGCCTATCACTCAAAATCCAGATATGTTGTCAAATGTGCATCAACTTTTATGTGTTTTATTATCACTTTCAAGGTAGCTTAATTTTGTAGCAACAATAACAATTTTAGTTACAAGAAAGCAAATGTAAATACAACAAACATAATTGAATGCACAAATTGTTGGCTGTTGCATGTTTGCAGTGACTCTTGTACGTACAAGTACAATGGTTCAGCTCAGCTCATTTGCAATGGGGTCAAGGTAGCGAGCGTCGAGCGACTCACTTTACGCTACGCTTTTGCATGTGGCAACTGTTTATTTCGCTGTTTATTCGTATGTTTGCATTGTTGAATGCCTTTGTGTTATTGTCAATGATATTGTTGCCTTAATGCGCCCATAATATGGCAAATGCACGTGACGAAATACCACCACCACCTGCTGCAAAGCGAACAAAAAGTAAACAAGTCCAAAAATCGCACATGAGCGTACATCAATTATACATATGTGTGTATGTACATATATACATATGTATACAAAAAAACATTCGGCTGTGTTATGTTTTAAAACAAGGAAAAATGTTAACTTCTATTGCTAAAATACCATTCACAGATAAAAAAAATATTACTACAAAAATTTGATTTTGATCGGTAAGTTTATATGGCATTTATATGCTATAGTGGTCTGATCTGAAAATTTTTTCAAATACTGTAGCATTGCTTGACAAATAAAAATCTGAACAATTTCTTCGGAGATTGTACCGTTGTCTAATGCAATAATGTAGACTTCTTGTTTGTAATCGCATATGTCCTGTACGAAGTTTTCTTATCAAAAAGGCAGTACGGTTACACCGGTCGAGAAGTATTGTTAGGGTTCGACATCGTCAGGAATCTTCGAATGACCTCAATCTTTTATGTCGAAATATTTACTAAAGCATATAAATCAAACGTTTAATCCATTGTCGTGCAGATATATTTCCCATAACTTGTTTGTGTCTAAAAGTACTTTAAAACGATTAAAGCGTTGTTTTATTTCCAGGCGAAGTTAGGCTTGATTTTGCGACTTAAAATGCCAACTTTGCGAGTTTGCTCCTAAACACGAAAAAACGTTAATTTCGGTTGCACCGAAGCACGACTATTCTTCAGAAATAAAACAGTTTCCCTATACGAACTTGACTGAGCGATCAGTTTGTATGTCAGCTACGTGTTATAGTGGTCCGATTTGAACATTTTTTACGGAGATTGTACCACTGCCTTGGACAATAATCCATGACAAATTTAGTGAAAACATCTCGTTAAAGTAAAAAGTTTTCTCAACAAGGACTTGATTTTGATCCTTCAGTTCGTATGGCAGCTATTGATATAGTGATACGATATCGCCGGTTCCGACAAAAGACAACTGCTTAGGGAAAAGACTTCTGCATAATTTCAGATCGATATCTCAACAAGTAAAGAAGGGCTAAGTTCGGATTTAACCCAACATTTCATACTCTTGCAACTTGCAAGGAATTGCAAATCCGGGGAAATTCCTTCAATTAATAATTTTATAAATATATAACGCATACATTGACCGACATATTTAGCATATGGTTTGTTAGACGGGGAACTATAGTATGTCCAATATTATACGTTCATTTAATTTTGTTAAGATATCTTGCATATTGACCGATATATACGGTATAAGGCCGGTCAGAAGTTTGAAACTCTTATATTTGGTATATGTGAGATAGGGATAGTATTGGACCTCTTTTATCCATTTTTGATATTTTAACATCCTGTTATTAGTTATATGGCTGCTACGGCAAGTTTTCACCCGATTTTATCGATTTTATGCACAAAGATACATTGTTATAAAAAAATACGTTCTTTTAATTTCTTTAAGAAAACTCACACATTGACCTTGACCGATATTTGCGGTGTAAAGTCAGCCGGAAGTTCGAAAATTTTTCTATTAGGTATAATGGGACTAAGGGAATTTTTGATCCGATTCAACCAATTTTTGGCACACGGGAATATTATTATTAGATAAAGAGTCTCTCTGAGTTTCTATAATACATGTCACAGATTGACCGATATTTTCGATAAAAAGTTCGCAATAGGAACTGGATCCATATATTCTGTCGGTCAAGCAGGTCCCGAAATATTGGTTTTAACCTAAATGTGGGCGTGGCAGTGGTCCGTTAACACTCATCTACGAACTGGTCCTTACCTTTTGCCAAAGAACACGTGTATAAAGTTTCATTGCGATATCTCAATTTTTACTCAAGTTACAGCTTGCACAGACAGACGGACGGACAGACAGACATACGGATTTAAACTCGCCTCGTCATCCTGATAATTTATTTATGTACTATATATAACCCTATATCTAACTCGATTAGTTGTAAGTGATACAAACAACCGTTAGGTGAACAAAACTAGTATACTCTGTAGCAACATGTTGCAAGAGTAACATATAAAAACTGAGGAACTAATTCGTGTATATACAGACAGGCGGACACAGCTAAATCGACTCACTTATGTGTATATATTTTTTTTTTGTAGATTTTGTTCGGAGTGTAAAAAGCGCGACTATCTGGCAATAATGAAAAAATAAAAAAAATCGATAATGTGTCAAAATTGCTGCTGGCAAGCATAGCATCAAAGGCAAGCCAGCGCAGCCGAGTCAGCCCAGGCGGTCGTAGTGTGATGGTCGTAGATTGAGGCAAATGAAGCCAACCGTGGCAGCAAAACCATTTCTACTATGAGCCTAACAAAAATAGCTTTGCTGGCATAAGAGCAGACATAATGTTGCAAGAGTGTATTATACGCAAAGCTTGTACTTGAGTGAATGTCTATGAAAGAGTTACGCGATGCGAACATGCAGGAAGGGTCCTAAATGCACACGGTCTAAATACGCGCTGTAGTGTGAATATGTGTGTGTGCATACATAAAAATTCGTAGATGTTTCAGTTACACCCACGTGTGTGTGTGTGTGTAAATTATTAAATCTGCTCTTATCATTTGCGACTCATTGTCTGATTTTTCTGCACATTTCACTGATTTTAGCTGTTTTTGTTGTTTCTTGTATGCATGCATTCACATCCATTTGATTGTTTTTAATCCTTGCTTGCATAAATGCTGCTTCTCATCGTGATACGATTGTATATTATGCGTTTTTTCTTGTCTTCGTCCTTTCTTCAATTGTTAAACACATCATTTATCCAAGTTACTATGTGTTGTTGTTGCTGTTGACATTGTCATCGCACAGTGGCGGGCTTTTGCGCAGACATATCCTCAGCGCAAGGAAGTTGTCGCCTTCCTTGAAACACTTAATGTTACAACATTA